TTTTTTTTTTTTTTTTTTTTTTTTTTTTTTAATCAACTGCTTTCTAATTGCTTTCAAATATTTCTTTATCCAAATTGTACTTGCCTGCTTAATGAATTTCTAGAAAAGGTTAATTCCAAAAATGAACAGAGACCAGATTTCTCATTAAAATAAATCCAGGAACATAGACTGGAAAATTATAGTAGGTGAGGCCTAGAACAATAAGTTCATTGTTTCCATTTGCATAAAATGATCTTAAGGGTTGGCCAAGCATTTGTGTGCAATTCCTGAACTTCCTTTTTTTTTTTTTTCCTTTGCTCTTTGGCCACATCTACACGTGATGCTCACTGTGCAGTAACCCAAGACTACTGCACAGTAGTGCTGCATTGCTTCTGCCATGCAGTGCTACTAAATAGTAGTCTCAGGCTACTGCACAGTCCGTGTCTCATGTAGACATGGCCTTTGATACCTTACGTGGGAATTTTATTTCTGAATTTAACAGTCCACACAAACAAGGTGGTGTTTGGATCTGCTTCCTCTACAGTAAAAGGTGGTTTGCTGCCTTTATTTCAGTGGGAGGACCACTGGCCCCCCAAAAGGGAGGACAGACAACCTGTGAACATTGTCACCCCATGTGGATTTTTCTGTTAAGACACTTACCCTACAATGTGGTCATGGTTGAAGAATATTAAATATTTCCTCCTTTCTTTCATCTCCTTGGTTTCTGAACTGCTTTCAGCAGTTACTAGAAGGTTAAATTAGATTAATCAAGGGTAGATTAAACCAATCATAAAATGAAGCTCAAGAACAAACAACTGAGGGAGATGAAAAGTACTGTAAAACCACGTAATTCCAAAATTGACACACTTCTGTGGCCACTCACTGCTTCTGGCTACCAGTCTTTCCTTCCTAATGGCCTTAATAAACTTGGCTTTATGAATTCTATTTATACAAGTGTTTTGCATAAATGCCTTATTTTTAATATGTTTCTGTAGTTAGATTTTTTTTTTTCATTGAACAGAGATTATATTAGCATGCCTCACAAAACCGGCTTGGCCTAGTTTGTTGTGTGGTACAGTTGGGATGGGACGATACTGAGCTTAAGTTTAATTTCCATTAAGATCAATTATTTAATAGAAACAAAGCAACTGGTATCATTGGGGAAAATAACATACCTTTTACCTGTACTGTGTGTGTGCGCGTGTGTACGTACATTTTGAAATGGGTGGTAACATGACCTTTCCTGAAATCCCAAGACCATGCTCTGTTAAGTTTGTTCTACTGCCCCATGAGACAACAGCAGCCAGGTAAGGGACTGTCAGAATTCCCCATCCCTCCCTTCTACCCTTCACCAACAGGGAATAGAAGTTAATGGCTAATGCTTTCTTTGGTGCAGAAAAGGCAGCAGGGCAAATCTTTAAATATTGGCCACTAGCTGATTTTCCAAGATATACATCCTGTCAGAAGGTACTAATAAGCCCTTCAGGGCTAAGGGCAAGAGTCACTGAAAAAAATAAGTCTAGCATCTCTGGAAATTCCAAAACAAGAGATTTGAGAAATCTGCTTTGCCTTCCCAATACAGGAGCTGGACTTATTTCAGTGAGTCCTGTCCTCAAATAAATCCCTTTTTGTTGTTTAGGTGTTAGTAAGATGAGATACCTACTGTGAAAATAAGTTGATATATTTACTACTGTGAGAATAACAAAATAGAGTTTATCGGGAGATTTTTGTACTATGTTGTGTATTTTTATATATATTAAATACATATGTAAATATACACATGCACGCACACATCACATATATCTCTTGGAGTTAATGTGATTTTTAAAAATATATAATTGCAGCCACAATCATTTTCATTGTGACTGAAGAATGAATCTGAAGAAAAGCCACTAAGAGTGATAGGGGGAGATAAAGCATGCAAGAGGGTGGCTGCTCAGTTATTTTTCTACCGTGCTTTTTTTTTTTTTTTTAAGGAATATTCAATAAATGTGTGTTTAGCTAAGTTTGTGTGACTAATGGGTCACCTGCTAGTAAATAGCATACAAGCTATTTTTAAATTGCTGGCATACAGCTTTAAGTGCACTTTCCTGAATTACACTTCCATTTCTTGTTAGACTTGAAGTTTCTAAAGCTTTTTTTTTGTGTACCACTAAACAGAGAACTTTAACTTTTCTGTGAAATTGATGTACGTCATAAAATACTTGCAGTTGTTATTAAAAAAAATAAAGATGACACAGTGACTGTGCAGACCTCAAGCATCTGATTGTGTAGTATTTACAGGAACCATTGTGAGCTAATCTTTATTTTCTTCATTTAATCACTAATTGAGTTTGGCTACATGTTGCCTGTTCACTGCTACAGACTGGATTTCTGGCCCTGTTTTGCTTGATTTGTTTTCTTATCTGCTGCTTAATAATCTGCTTTCTTTAATGTAATAATGCCCAGTGGATTATATTCTTTACCTATTCCATTAATGCAGCCGTTTCTTTGCTGCTTTTTAAAGATTTTCAAATGTGAACAGAGGGAAGTTGAATGTTGTCCTTTTTTCATTATGCAGTCCAAATGCTAAGTTCAGTGTCTAATGCAGCCTCTACAGATTTTGCTTAGCAACTGATTTTTTTTAACATTCTCTCCTGACTCATTAGTTTTATCCTATATGCTAAAACTTCAAAGCAGGAATTGGTAAGATTATTGCTTTACTGACATCTGATGATATTCATATGCAAACCAAATGCATAGTAAAACAGTAAAAATAGTAAGAAAATGAAAAAAAGCAAAACTAGTAATAGGTGATGAATATCCATTTATTAATATCTGAATATCTGAAGTATCCTGTCTTTTGGCTATAACTCAGTTCAGAGCCTGCAGGAGCAGGCAGCAAAAGCCAGAGAGAGGGAGACTAGTTGCTGGTGCAGCATCTGGTAGCTGGGCAGGTAACTGGGGGCCACAACTTAACCTCTCTGAGGCTGTCCAGTTGGACAGCCCTCTTGGAATATGAAGACATGAACTTATTGTATAGAGTTAAAAGTACTTACTGTGCATCGGTTGAGCTGTGGTAATTCTGTGTGTCCACTCTATACCACACTAAGTAGAAGCTAAACAGTACTTTAAAAGTTGTTTTTTTAATTTGGGGGTAAACTATCCTGGTTTAGTTTCCACTTAACTGCAGAAGAGAGCAGATTTATGCATTATTGTGCATCTGGTGATCCATGGTAAGTCGCTTCCTTTCTTTTTGCCCCTTCCCCCCGTTTTGAACTCTTACAAAAATTTTGTCCATTTGCTCAATCTCAGAAAATATATATACGTGTATAGAAAAAACCTTGATAGGTAATGGAATAGTTTAACATTAATTCAACTTGCTTGAGTGAGCTAACATCAGTGGTTGGCTATTCATGGTCTTGTATTAAACTGCTGGTACCATCATTGACACTCAACACGTGATCCAAGTGACTGAGCTTTGAAAGCCTTTCAGTAGGTGCTGTCAGTTAAATGTTTAAGACAGGTTGGGACTGGGTGGGGAGGGGAGAGAAAGGTGGGTAGTTGCTTTGTTGCCTGTTATGTCTCTAGAGAATTTCTGTCTTTAAATTTGGCTTCTGCAACCACTAACAATCATACACTGAACATAGGCATGTAAGAAAGTTGAAAGCAAGCATACAAGCAGATGCTATTGCTTTTTTATGAATTGAGAAGCGTTTCAAAACTAGAGAAAATTATAAATGGGCATTTTTACTGTTTCAAGGGACAATTGCTTGTTTATGCTGAACAGATTGTTTTCATCTCCTGAACCATGTAAGTGCATGGATCATATTGGTCATGAAGGAAGTATCTTTATTAAAGAAGGTAAGAAACACAAAAACTGAATTGTGTGCGCTCCCGCTGAACTGCATTATGTTGGAATGTCTTTCTTGGCTGTGGTGTTCTCCTTCCTTCTTATTAAGAACATACTCAAAGTTTCTTAGATAAGCTTAAAGGCCTCTTCTTTGTATCTAAAACAATGATAAAGCCTGTTAAAGCTGCCCCTTATCTTGAATTGTAGTAATTTAGCATACCTTTAGTAGTGGAAGAAAGATTTCTGGAAGGAGATAGAAGATTGTTGAAGTGTAAGAAACATTTGTTTTTATAGTTTACCTTCACTGTCAGCAATAATGATCTTATCATGACCTGAATGGGAAAATGTATTCCCAGATTAAATTGGCAACTTAAAGACTGGAGAGCTACAAGTTTGATAATAGTTTTGACATGAACAGTGGTGATACTGAGCACATCTACACAAATTGCTAAAAGCGCAGTAGACTAATTCTCTGCATTAGCATGTCAGGGCAAAAGCTATGCTAATGCACTAATGCACAGTAGAACTGGTCTGCTGCACATTAGTGTCACATAAAAGGTGTGTGCTAGCACTACTGTGCAGTAGCAACAATTATGTTACATTAATGCATGTGTAGATGTGGCTATTGACAATGAAATGTGCTTACACCTCAGACAGTCCCAATTATGTATCCCAAGGTTCTTAAAAGCTTCTCAGGCATCATCTGGGATGCAGCCTGCCTCTAGTTTGACCTACTTCTTAATGTGATAAGATTGTCATGCAGTCAACATTTTCTATGAGTTTGGCCCTTTTTCCAGCTCTTTTGAATTGTTTGAGTAGTTGGATGTCTCCAGCGAAGCTGAGACTGGAAGTAAAAAGTTATTTTCTTTCTATGTCAGATTTCCATGCCTCCCCTCTCCCATCCCCACTAGTTCACTTCAGTTGTGGTTCATTTACCTTTGCTCATTCTAAGACATTTAGGAATTGGAGGTGGGAAAGGAAGAAAGGTTTTCATCTTAAGTGGAACTAAAATCTGAAGTTTGTGGGTTTTTTCCACAGGCTACATAAATTCAAAATTGCCAGAGCTCTTATGGTGTAAAGAAGGGTTTGTCTTCTATAGCCCAAACTGGACTCTAATGCAGCAGTGAAACTGAGTTCATCCACATTTTCCAGTACACAGTGGCAGTGAAAATGAAGTTTTCAATTAAATGAACAATAAGACTAACAATGCCTTTAAAACGGTAGCCCTGCCCTTCACTTTGATATTAAATGTTAGCTGCATCTTAAGAAAAATTCTCATAGTGGCATGTCCCAGGTGCTTCACATAGGTTGGTAGGAAAGGTGCACGATTTCACTGGAATAACACCACTGACACATGTGCAGAGCCCCAGAACAACGAATCATGCTGATCCCCAAGTACATGTTCAGTAAATCAAAATTTATTTACAGAGCAGGTATTTACATAAAACATTTGTCATGCAAATCACCTTGATACATTGCACTCAACGTAATGAACACAACTTTGCAATGAGTTTCCTTATCCAGTGACTGAAAATTGTTAAATAGATACTGAGTTTAGTTTGCTAGGTTATTTAAAAAAAATAAAGATAGCTCAATATGCAGTCAGTAAGACAAACAGTTACAGATAATTTTAAATGTTATTGTTTAGGAGACATTTGAGACAGGCTCTCTTACTTACACATTTCTAGTCTAGTCAGGCTTCAGTAGTAGTTATTAGTGCACTTTGAACTTGTTTGGCTGACAAGTTAAAAGAAGTCATGTTCACATTAAAAGGCTTGGGAGGTAATTTGTCAGCATTATGCTTTAATACTAACTGAACCAGCTTGCACCTAACTTCTTTTGGAACTCAACAGTTAATGCTGCATGGTTAGACTTTATACAGTCTATGTTCATCACTACTTATTTCACAATAAATATATACACAACATGCCAGTGTTAGAGCATCTAGTATCCTCTAGCACAAGCATGCGCAAGTGTTCAACGTTCTTACAGTAGAGCCATATCCCCTGTAATACATTACCCCTTCATCTACAGCATATCCACTACCAAAAATCATCTCTGAAATTCTGAGATGCTTCTTCCTTCAATGTCTATTAGTAATTTTCTGGTAAAATGTGTTTTAAAAGTATGCTTTGGTACCTGGCACTAGGAGCAAGATAGAACAATTAAGGATTCTTCTTCCCTCCCCCACCATATTGATGAGAGTAAGATACAGAAAAGGCAAAGGAGAGGTTACCTGGGGGGAGTGGAGGCATGTGGACATGCAAACTAGGTAATCTGTTCTCTCTTTTTGGCTCACCTTAGTAAGACAGCTTGTTTACTTCAAGGCCACAATTAGTGTAATTTAGATCTGCTCCTTTGGGATGACCCAAAAATCTTGTCTACATACTTCAACACTTGCAAAGGCCATGCTTCAGAGACTGCATGATGCTAGACTGTCATTCCCAAAGAAAGATCTTCATTATATTAATGAAAACAGCTCTGTTTCCTATACTCTTCACACTGAAGTAGCTACTTGGAAGATGTAACTACAACCATGCTTCCCTGACACCACACAGGTCAATCCCATGTCCTAATGAGGTTGGATTACTACAGAATTGTAGTCAGGTCCATTAACTTTAAAGTGAACAATACCATTCTAGCTTCTGTTCATCACATTAATAGTAGCTTTTTTTTTTTTTTTTGGGGGGGGGGGGGGGGGGGAAAAATGAACCATAAACCCAAGCAATTACTTACACAAATTGTTTCAGTCTTTCATTATGAATCAAAAACAAATTTACAATCCAGTTTTAGAGACCCGTCTACATTCAAGGCTATATAATAAGAACAATCGAAAGAATTTTCAATCCCCACAAGAGAACAAAACCATTAACTAACACATTAAAAACCATTTAAATTATCATGTTGGCAATTAGATAGATATCCAGAGACTTTCCAGAATGATCTGGATATTTGTTTTAATTCTGATATGCCAAGGCAAAATAAATCTTTAAAAACTGCAGTTTTAAAAATCAGTTTTCCAACTGGCAAATAGAAGGCAAACAATAAGTCATCTTTTATTACTATCTATAGAAAACTTTTGGCAACAGAAAAGTGTTTCAATAAAATGAGCACTACAAGCAATGTGTTGTATTTCTCCATATTAAAACCACAACACATTATTTTGCTGTTAACTTCCACATTATTAAGTATTTGGATTATTAGTACTAGTGAAGCATAGGGCCAACTTCTGCTCTAAACTCATACAGGACATTTTTTAAATGTGTTGCTACAAAGTCTACAAACTACAAGGCCCACAAGAATTTAATTAAATTGAGTCCAATTTGCCAGATATTTCATTCAGAATACTTCAGGGTAAAGTTTTCAAAACCATCCAGGGTCATTTGGGTGCCTGAAAGGAACTTGGGAACTCAGTGAACAAATTAACAACGTTGTCCATTTCAGAAGTAATTTTAGATTAGCGATAGAGAATTCACAGTAGATAACAGCACCCCTTCTGCTCTTTCACAAAGAAAAAAAATGAAAGCTTTTAAAAGATGCAAGAATCCACTAAATTCATATTTAAATATTACAATAGCAAAAATCAAAGCAATAACTAAGCAAACAGTATGCTATAGTGTATGGAACTGAAAACGTCCAAAATGAGGTCTCAAGAAGCAATGTATAACAAGAGCTTTAAAATCATGCTGAGGACAGGTTTCTTCAATTTCAGACTTTAGTAAAGTGTAAAATGATGTTTATATCAATGTGAGAGTTGTCTGATGTCCATCAAGAGTGTACGTTGCTGTCATTCATATTCTACCAATTAGAAAAGGGGATGTAATGATCCATATGTTGGTTTGTGAATCCCAGTTTCATTGTTTAATTGTAGGAAGACCTGTACTGTTCTTATGTACATTCTGCAGCATAGCACAATCATTGGAGTGAAAATTCATCTGTCAGAGACCTAAGCAATGGTAGTCTTAAATTTCAGTTCACATGCCATCCCCACAGGTGGAAATGCAGTCCAGAAGTGAATGAAAAACAACTGCCTCAGTGCACAACTTCAGGACTCAGCAAGCAACTAAGACCCAGACATTCAGTCAGAACGCTTGTGGCAGGAAAACAGCCCTGAAAGACAGTGGAAGACAGGTTGTCAGAGGACACATACCAGAATGTCATTATTTTCTACCACTTTTTAAAAAATGGACAAATATTGGGTAGCACAAGAAATTAAAAAAACCCCAAGTAACCAAAAAGTGTGCACTAAAATCAACAAGATCACTAGGGAGTAAAGTGTTACTCAACAGAAGAAGTAAGGATGGCAAGATTTGGTTCCTCATTAAATCCCTGACAGACAGTATATAAGGAACACTGGAAGAAGCACATGCCAAAGAAAGTACCTTTACATCTACCAGTGGAGCATGGGATTGTACGAGTTGAAGGACAAAAAGTACAAACCCAGTGCAATGTCACTTACATAAGCTATTACCACACAAGGTAAAAACATTACAGAAGACTATATGAATTTATCCTCATGTCCAAAAGGACAATAAGATTGTTTTCTGTTTATAGTGTTCACTTGCTTGCAATATATTTTTCAAAGCTTTTAAATATAGTGCCATTTTTGAAAGATGTTGATTTTTTTTTTTCCTGTGCTTTTACTAGAGATTAATTTAACCTGGTTATCTTTTGCTTCCTTGCAACATCACCAAAGTCATATAATGCTAAAGCAGTGATTTTTAACCTTTTCAGACTGAAGGCATCTATCGTTAGACACAAGGCACCCTTCAAAGCGACAGTTCTTAGTGTTCACTTTTTTTTTTTTTACAAGAAATTAAAAAGAAAATAAAAAAAACCTAAGTAACCAAAAAGTGTCTGCACTAAAATCAACAGGGATCACTAGGGAGTAAAGTACTACAGCATTTTTGTTGCAAAAAAAAAATCAGAAAACAACAGTCAGAATGTTCTTAGTGTTGTGGATTCATATTTGCAAACTCTGGGTTTATCTTGTGAATCGTGTTTGTACACCTAGCAGTGCTAATACTATGCAGCACACCAGGGCACCCTTGAAAAGATCGAGGCATCCTATAGCGCTCCAGCACCCTCACTAAGAATCACTGGGCTAAAGTGTGTCTGCATCTTGTGTAGTACCATCAGTAAGCAAAGACACCATGTATTGTTTTTAAGAGGACAGAGAATTGTTTTTTAAACTACAACACAAGTTTTGGAGAGTAAAAAGAAAAGAGTTTAGTGATCAAAATAGAGTACCCCAATATGTTAACAGCAAATGAAGACCTGACACAGAAATGCTTTGATAAAAGAATACTAAATAATTGGAATTAAAAAAAAAAAGTCATTAGAATTTGAAGAACATGGATTGTTTATTCAAATGCTAACTATTCATCTCTGAGGCTACTTGTCTGGTAGGTTAGAAATAAGTAAGTACTGGATACTAGGCCTGTGCAAAGCAGCTGGTATTCGCGTCGTATTTGGAATCACTGTCCCAAATCAATTTGGCCAAATCTCCAAATCACGCAGGCTCATCTCCCAGCCTGACAATGACTGCCCCACCAGCCCCAGCTCTGGCCCTTTACGGAACTCCCCTTGTTTTTTATTAGGTTCCCTCCCCCCACTTAAAGTGCTGGAGCTGGGGCAAGCAGGGCAACCATGGAGGGTGGAGAAAGGGGCTCATAGCAGAGCCCCCCCATGCAGTGCGGGGTAGCAGGGATCACCCTCCTCCTGTCCAGCAGCACTCTGTGACTGGGGGCTTTTTTTTTTTTAAAAGCACTGGAAGCTGGGGTGAGCACAGCAACCATGGGTGGGCTGGGGGAGCAGGTGGGCACAGACAAGAGATGGGGCTTGGCAGGGGTCACCCCATGGTCCCTTCCCCCCACCCTCTACTTACCAGCTCGAAGTCCAGCTCCAGCTCCCTGCTGCAGTAGGTGGGGGCTGCCCGAATTATCAAAGCTCTCCAAAGATTCAGAGAGTTTCAAATTGATTTGGACCTTTTTATTGGTCACCTGATTCAATTCAGATTTGGTCACCGAATCTCCTCCAAATCAAATCAACACCTAAAGCTTCACACAGCCCTACTGGATACTACTTTCATTAAAAGTATAGCTTAAATGTTCACTCTGAGAAACCTGCAAGACTTCTCATTATCAGACTGTAAATCCATTTTGGGATCCAATTAGCTCTAGAATTTTGCCTGGAGTATTTTTTTTCTCACTTGATACAGGGCTCAATTTCTTTACAAGTGGAAGATAAAGAGCTTGAATGGTACTAAATAGTGCTGCTACTCTGTTCTAGAGCATTAATAAAGATAAGGAAAGAAAGTCAAACTGAACTTTAAAACAAAAACGAATTCAGCCCCATGCCCCACTAAACTGTTCTTTTACGCTTCTACACATCCAAGACTGTCTTACCTTCATTCACAAATGTGCAGGATGATCAGGACAGGGCTTGTTGTGCCTGTATTGCATGATATATACTGTAGATTGATGCCACCAGTACAACATTAGTACTGCAAGGATATGCCATACCTGGTGACTAGAGCCGAGGTAGTTTAATTGTCCTGTTGGAAAAAACAAAGACAGTCATACTATTCATCATAATTAGTGCAGTCACAAGTCTACCCTGAGGGTTGGAGTCCTTTTATGAGTCCCATCTGACAAATGGCCATGAACTGAGGGGTTCTAGAGACCTCTGGACCAGACTTAAGGGGGAAAACATATTTAAATGCATTAAGCATGTGCTCAGATTAGGTATCTATAGGCACATGTGATCACTCAGGCAGCCAAAAGTTCAACTAAACTAGCATTTTAAGCTATGGGTGCAACACTCTTGTGCAAACATAATCAAAACATCCAAGTTCTGTTCAAACTTAAGAGTCTATCAGGTTAGCTTGGTTAAAGTATACCGGTTCTTAGACTGGTAGGCAAAGAGTGGCCAGAATCACATACAACCACCTTTTATTTCTTGTCTGAATAACTAGATACCCATTTACAGCTGGGCTGAAGTTCAAAGCAGGGCCCCAGCTGATACCTCCAGAGCCATGACTGCTATGCCACCTTGATCCTAGACAGTGCAGCAGGCAACACACTTATGCCTGGAGTTTGCATTAGGGCAGCTGCATGGGTGTCTAGATGCACGTTTCACACAGGCACGCTGGGTACTTAAGCATACATAATATATATAAACAAAGGAACACATCTAACTGGAACAAGTGGCCAGTTAATAGCTAGTAAAGTTCTGAAGTAAATTAACTGAACCCCAGTGCCCTATCTCAAAGACTACAGAAAATAGGTGTAAGCTCACTTGCTGAAACCCCAAAAGAACAAGATGTTCCTTTCATTACCTTTAAAGGAAGGTTGACCAGATGCTAAAACTGAATACAATACTGCACAAGCAAACTATCACTAATATAATTAAAGCAGCATTTTCCAAGGCTGCATCTCTTCATTGCAAGCCATTTTAAGTCTCTATATATCACAATCTTCTGCTCCTTTATAATATACCGTTGCAATAAATGCCACGTGTTTTCTTGAAATGAACTGATATACCACCTCATATTTTGTACCAAGATCTTGTATGTGCATTTATATTTTGGAAAGAAAAGGAACCCCAGTAAAAATCCTTAATGCTACATTATCTTCCCTTAAATCAAAGTCTACAAGACACTCCACACTGAATAGGCAGTTGATGTGTTGTGAACACTGCTTGTTAGCACAATCAGCCTCCTGCTACCTTGTGCTCCTTTCTTTCTATTTGCTTTAGCCCATTGTTTCTTGTTACATACATGGACTGGAGACTTTTTGGGACAGGGACCTTTTCTCCCCCATTTATTTCTGTACAATACTTAACCGAACTCCTGATTGGACACTGAGGGGCTCTTTAAAGCACCTCCAACCCCTAGAGCTCACTTAGTGGCCTTCAGGAGCCACTTTAATTAAGGTGCCCGCAGCGTTTTATGTATTTAGCATCCTCTGCTTCAAAATGGCAGTGGGGGGCGCTTTAACTAAAGCTTTTTTAAATGAGCATGCTCCAGCAGACTCAATTAATCAAGTCTGCTCCTACGTGCTGTAATTACAGCGCGTCGGAGCAGGCATCCCACATGTCAACAGGCACCCTGAGCTGCAATACAGTGCAAATGGGTTTCTTCTGGCTGCAGTTTGACACACTTTGATCTATGATCTGAGACGCTAATGCACATTAATCTGTTGACTAAGTCACTACGGCTTAGTGCCAACTTCTTGGAAAAATTCTACAATCCACAGCAACAAAAAGATACACAGTACTTTAGTAAAGGTTCCTAAATGTACAATCACAGATCTAGGTAATTACAATTCCCATCTCAGGAGAAAAGTGACAGTAGGCTCAGTGAGAGATGTGTGAATTCACCAATTTGGGGGGGCAGGAGGGAATCCAGTTTGGGAACTAGGGTTTTCCAAAGAGCCTGTAACAGGATCCCAAGTCTCGTTTCATTTTGCTGCATTTGCTTGAAAAATGTAAATAATAAGTTAGAAGCATCTACGAAGTTATATAATGTACAAATACACAACAAGCTTCCTTTTCCTTCACAAAATACAGCAAGGATTCCCTAGGACACCTGAAGAAAGCTTAACCACATAAGAACAAACAAGAAAATGATATTCATACCTGGGAAGTACCTTTCTGGAACTTTGGAAATATAGAAGAGAAAAGCTACTGCAGCAATCAAGTACATCACAATTACACGTGGAGCAAACTCCTATGAAGAAAATGAAGTTTGACTCTTTATTATTAAATATTATGAAGTAAAAGCTAATGGTCTGTCCAGTGAGAGCACTGCATACTTTGCAAGGATAAGAGTTTGAAGCTTATAACCTGATTATTTACATGAATATTGAATAAATTTCAAATTTGTTGCAGATACCAAAGCCTGGAACAGAAGATATTATCTAAATTTAGTCCCCTTTTTGTTCTTGAAAATAAACCCCATCTTGTTTTCACTGTGCCACTGGTAAGAAATTGCATGAGAAGAAATTACATCTTTTGACAGTACATTCACCCTGCACACCAGATGAGATTTCCTTGTGCACATCTCTCCATCTTTAACTAAAAGAATTATTTCCTGTGGAATAAGAATACATTTAAAATTCTTGAGTAACAAATACACGTAAAATCTGCCAGTGTTACAGAAGTTCCTTTTCCAGCTTGAACGACAGTAACCGTTGGTGGGAAAAGGTATTGCTAAATCTATGTAGGATCTTTGACCATATGAGGCATAATATAAAACACTTGATTTCACAAGGCTGTTGAACACCAGATGTTAAAAAGGAATTAAAACTGTTCAATGGAAAGCAGCACACATTAGGTGGTGTTAAAGCCTGCTGTCCAAAAGAGGTTTTCTTTCCCTATTTTTTGAGATACAGGGGAACAAGCCCAGTGCTGAGCTACAGCATGTTTATAGGCAGGCAAAAAAACTAAATTAAAGTGTATCACCTAGTTCAGTGATTCTCAAACGACGTTGTGAGATCATTTTAAGGGTGTTGCAAGTGCTCTGCAATATTAGCACTGTTGCATGTACAAACACCTACACGATTCACAAGAGAAACCCAGTTTTCAATTAGTAATCCATAGCATCAAAAATATTCTGCCCTGTTGTGGCCAGAGTTCTTTGCAACAGAAGAATTGCTCTTTTTTTTTTTTTTTTTTTGACTACAGAAAAATAAGTGAAAGCTATTTTGTGAGTGGTGCTTTGAGTCTAAAAAGGTTCAGAACCACTGATCTAGTTCTGAGCAATAATCAGCACAGGCCTTGTCCAATGTCCACTAATGCCAATAAAAGCCATTCCACCAATTTCAATAGGCTCTGGATCGAGCTAAATCATCACTCCTAGACAGCACTCAGATGCTATGGCTCCATTATAAACACCTACACAGACATGCATCACCTACTGTGGAAAGTCGAATCTATTTCACTTATGACAGGTTCTTCTCATTATATTTCATTATACATCTTCAAATCCACATTTCCACCCCGAAGACAGGCATTTCCCCCTATCTTATACCCTGAATGACTTTTCAGATTATTTCCCTGCTCTGGTTAGATCTGTTAACATTAAGTAAGTTAACAAGACAAATAATTCTAGGTTGCTAAAAGGCTATGTAATGAGTATTTATATATAGGCAAATTTCTGGCTTTGCTGCAAGCCCCAAGTAAAAGGATATAGACTTGAGGTGCACTCATACATTGGTTTGATATCAGATCAGCACTGATATAAAGGAAACTGACTAGATCAGAAAATCAGCCTGATACATCGCCACTAGTTGCCCCGAGGGAACCAGATGTTCACACCATGTGTGGATACAGCCCCTAGTTTTATTTTCTGAATCATGTTTGTACACACAACACTGCCAACACTGTGTTGCCCCCCTGGGCACCCTTGAAAGGATCTCAAGGCACCCCAGGGTACTGTGGTACCATGGTTGAGAATCACTGCTCTCAGCTAAAGCAGTTGCACACACCCTTGCTCAAGTAACACACATACGTATATATCAAGATATGCATACACACACAGTGCATTTAATATATATGTGTGTGGGTTTAACAAGGAGCACCGCAAATCTATGTTATATGCATATAATATATGTATGCTCTGCAGACGTATACATAACAGTAACATTTATACCTAATAGATGTTTTCCCTTTGCGCGCAGGTTTCAAAGACACATTCACACATTTTCTATTTTTGTTGCAAGGAGCTACTCGATTTTTAATCATGTTAAAAAAGTGGTAGGAGACAAGTCAGAACCAAACTGAAGAACTTTGCGGACTTCTCTGCTTACCTGCACAATAGATGCACCAACCCCACCATTGAGCCAAACCCAGTGGATGGTAGGAATGATTCCATATCCAGACACAGAACAGAAGATGACAGAGCGCAGTCGATGCCACTGTTGTGTGAGGTAACTGGGATGAATCTGAGCAAAGAACACTGCTAGGATCATCGCCAGCACAGTGATTAAATATACCTGCCGCCAATACTGGGAAAGAAAAGGAGAGAAGTCCATAATGTTTTCCTTCTTTGGTCACGTGTAAATATAATTAGTATTCTTGACAGCAAGTCATCCAGATTCCGTGGGATGATTTGCCTTCTCTATACTTCCCTGTTTTCTTCCTCATACTTTTCATCCTAAAGAAGTTTCTTCATAAGCTCCCAGGTTGCTAAAATGAGTTGTACTTCTTCCTCAACTAGTCTGGCAACTTAAATCTGTTTCTGCTTATGCATCCAGATACTTGACAAATATTTAAATTACCAAGCCAGTAAGATCAAAGTTGCAAAAGCCTACATGTAAAGATTTTGGCAGGACCTACTTCTACCTCCTCTGTACAAAAATACATGGACGTGCAACCAAAAGTAAGCAATTCATGACAGGTCACTTGCATGCCACAAGGCAGTCATTTTCTCTACTACAAAAACTTCTGATTGTGCATAAATGATCTGTTTTGTACATAAATTGGAAATCAAACTAGCCCCTCATCTCCTAAACTTTTCAGCTGTTCCTCTTTCTCTTCTTTGTCTCACCCAACCCTTTTCTATCTCCCATATTCCCAAACTTATTCAGTTCTTAACGATTTCTGGATCTTTGCCTGTCCCAAACTACTGGTTCCTCTCAACACATGATTTTAATGTTGCCTGATAAGTTGCATAAAACTAGTATCTTTGGTATTTAGGTGTTTTTCTGGCTGCTCCCCCAACGCCAAAACTTATTTCCAACAAGAACCAGCAGTCTAGGATGGGTATGAAAGCAACCTTATCTCTGCCAAATTTAAGCCAATCAGTAGGTCCAAGCAGCACAAATCATACTGAATTACTTCTGATTATGTGATACGTGTCAGCCAACTTGATGCATTTGACAAGTCTAGGAACAGTAAAAGTTACACTCTGCTAAATGTGAGTACAGACACCCACATTTTCTTGAATGACAGGCAGTTTTAAAGGAGTATTTGCAACAGATGAGAGATCAAATCCCACTTTGCCTACTTCTTTTCAAAGAAAGTATGTTAGCATTTGTTTAAAGGTCCCCCAGTTCATATCACTGCCTGTTTGCTAATTATGCACTCCTGACTTACGATACAATGAACTTCTTGCCTGGGACATCAGATGCCATGGCAGTGAGATTACACATGTCAAGCAATGTTTACTATACTGCATAAACAAGCATTTCAAACTCACATTATTGCAGTAAAATGCGTAAAACACTCCAGATACATAGCAGCCCAGGATACCAATGGAAATCCCTGCATAATCCAACGCCATCCATCGCCGGCTGGTCTTCTCTGAGCGATGGCAACAGAAGAGATGATAGCCTACTGAGCAAAGCATACAGACCTAGGCAAGCGAGATAACTTGTTATAAACTGGACTTCGAAAAAATTAATGTTAAAGCAAAAAGAGAAAGATACTATAAAGGAACCTACATATAAGGGAAAATGTTGCCCAACCTAGGTATGCACAGAAGTCCAGGTTGGCTGTAAAACCAATGGATTTTGCTGAAGAGGGATGCATGAAGATATGTAAAACAATACATGTGGTTTGTACACTGGAGAACATAGTTTTGCAGAACTGCTTAACTGAAGATACCAGATAGATTCCCTGGCCAACAGAGACAGGAGGGAAAGGACAGGCATGCAAACCTCCAGCTCCAGAGCTATTCTGCAGCTCAGAGGGGGAGAAGACTGCATTGCTCCAGATTTCTCCAGCATGCAGCACATGCTTTAGGACCAGGATTTATCTCCCACCCTTTTCTGCTTTTTCACAAAGAATTCACCAATTTTTTTCTGAGGGAGACTTGGGGGTCTTCAATAACCCCAGTTCAAAAATTTGTCAGTCATCAACTGGACAGATGCTTCTATGAAAAATGGAAGAAGGCAGAGCTGGGTAAATGGAGCACTCTTTTGAAACACCCAGTTCACATCTTCACTGTTGCGAGGAGGATAGTGGTGACCTTCCTCAGAGTAGTATTCCTCATCTATCTGGGAACCCGAAGGCGTGGTAATTACCATACACCAACAGACTCGATTAATTGGAGTTTGCTCCTACATGCTGTAATTATAGTGCATCAGAGCAGCCTTGCTGATTGTGTATAGGCACCCCTACAAGGAGTAGGGCGCACACACATTTGCAACTTCTAGGTGCTAGGAAGGAAAGGTTGGAATGTCTGCCTGTCTCTGACACATGTCAAGCTTCTGCTGTTCCAATACTAGGACAGCATTTGCCAAAGTGGGCTGGCATTCACCCAGGCAACTGAGACTCAGCAGCAAGTTACCAACATGCACAAACACAATTCACAATCTATATATGCCACTCTAACATTATTAAAACTCGAGTTCAAAGAAAATATTATAAAACAATCTCTGCGACCAACTGGATTCTGACTTTCAGCTCATACACACCAACCTCCAGCTACCTGTTGTTATTAATGCATCAACTAAAATCTCTGGATGTAATCATTTTAAGATGTTTACCAAAGTTATCCAACACCACATTCTAGTCCTAATAACATTTCTCATTTGAATTATAACAGCATAAGATCATTCTTATTCTTTAGAAAGTAAAATTGAACACTAAACTAAAATGACTATAATTTTTGTCAGTCAGCACATGCTGTAAGTAGGTAATAGTACAATTTAATACAGTAAACTTTGCCTTCCCCATTGAATGATGAATTAACCAGAGGGGCAAATTATCCAGTAGAGACTAATTATCAGGTGAGGGAAGTAGCACTGGAACAGCAGCAAATTAAATCATGCTGGCAAAGTCTCAGTTTATCTAAGAATCAGTTTTCTGCAGTATGAACAAGTAGTTACATAGCGGACAGATTCTTCCCTCAAGGAGTCGCCTTACATTGTATACCTTTTTTAAGTCTACCAGGAGAAAAGAGTAGGGCCAATGCATGGTCCCATCACCACAGGTTCAAATGATCAGGAAGTGCCAGTATTGAGATAAGTGGAACAAAATGCATTGCTGCATTACATAAATAGGCCCTACTGGACAAGGATGCAAGCAACTGGCAATCAGGCTAAGAAACACTGGCTAATGGAGAAACTCAGTCCAAAAAACTGCAATATGATTACTTGAGTGCCTTCATGTACCCTTACACCTCCGGATCTTTATTATTCTTCAGAAGATGCTCTTCACGTGGGCATAACCCCTCACGGTTCTTATTTATGCTGGATATTGGCTGCCCTGCATATTAGACCCAAGGATTGGGGTGAGGGGGAAACCAAAACACTGTACCTCCCCCAAGATGCTTGCAAATGCCACCTGACACAAAAAAATAACATTAAAAATGGCTGTTTTGTCAACTACTTTGCTAAAATCTCTCTCCAACTGCATTCAATTATCTTTTGTTCAGCACTTGGATAATAGAGTGAAAGATCATTGAACTGAACTTTTGCCAGATGCCAAAATTTTAAAGTACAGTAGAATGCAAGTTAATTTTCCCCATCTTGACTTCCCCAGCAAACCCTGGCCTTTCACTACATCCCTATTTGGATATATTTTGAAGCCTGGTTGATAGCTGCTGCATGTTTAATGCTCTCTCTCAAAAATGGGCCTTTGAGAGATTAATTTTCTAACTCAGACTTAGACACCAATAGTTTACAAGGTTTGCTATCCTTCCAAAGCCACACTAATGCATTTAATACATGTAACACGTTTTCCTTTCTCTGACACAGATGCCTTCTCTACCTCAGCCAAAACTACTTGCCTTAGACTGAGCCATTTTGTAGCTCAGGATTCTGAAAACGGTGGCAAATAAAATAGTGGGAATTAAAAAAAAATCCAAAAGCATGTTCAAGAGCTACTTTACAAAATAACTTACTTGAAAGCAAAAAAGACAAATGGAACAGATAACAAAGTCTTCTCTAGAGGCACTCGCCGAAGGCAATACAGAGGTCATGTCATATATGCCCAGAGTAAAGAAAAGGAAGAAGCCCAGTAAGTGACTCCAGATGTTTACCGTCTCATTGGACAAAATGAAGAGACTGCAGAGGAAACATGTGAGAAAACACAACAGCAGATGTTCATATCCTGGTAGGCGGGACTTGTAAGGCTGTGGCTTTAGCCAGCTGTTGAGGACAGGACATGCTGACCGCTGGGCTTGGCATTACCTCTTTAAGCACAGCCGGGAGGGGAGGTAGGCCCGGTAGCCGTCGGTGATGTAGGGATTGTCCTTGAGGAACACAGGGATCTGCTCATAGGTGTACAGCCGGATCCCCCGCGGGACCAGGACAGGCCAGTACTGGTAGCTTCCCAGCTCGATGTAGTGGGCGCTCTTCAGCAGCTTCTGATGCATGGTGCCCACAGCTCCAACCGGTGCCAGGGGAGCCCCTAGCTATGCCCCCCTGGGCATCCCACGCCGCTACCGCTGCTTACTGCGTGCCTGGAAGGGACCAAAGCAGCGGGGCCGCCCTACATCACCGGGCAACACAGGGGTCTGCTGGTGTGGTTGTGGGGCTGCCCTGATGCTCTCTTGGGAAGGCACCAAATACCCTATCTCTGTCCTGCTGTCCATTCAGGGGGAGCAGCACCCCTCTTGGGACCAGATACTGATGGATGGTCCCGCCCCCACACCTTAGGCCTACCTTCCCCCACCCTTAAACCCCCTCAGCCCCCATGCTCCCCTTTTAACCCCACTCTGCTCTTAGCCTCCCTTCCCGCAGCGCTTGGGGGAGGATCTGCGTGCGAGGAAGGGGGTGGAGGTGGGTGAGGGGCCGGGCCGGGCCCGAGGCGCCGCCCGTCCCGCACTTACCGCCCACCACCGGGGCTCACCGGCGAAGCGCATCCCGCGGGTGCTGAAGGAAGGAGGCAGGGACCCACCACCGCCCCTCCGCTTTCGTCATCACAGGGCGACACGCGCCGGAGAAAGACCCCGCGGGCCCAAGCCCGCCGTCCTAAGGCCCGCGCTAGGCGCTGGGACGCGCGGAGTGCTGGGGGCAGCGAATGTAGCAAGCGGGCCGCTAACGAGCACGGGTGGCTGGCGAGGTCGCGTTCTTGTGACGTCACGGGGCTGCGTTTTCCCCGATGGGGTTTCCTCTCGGGTCGGCATCTCCCTCCCCCAGGAGCGGCGGAACTGCGCACGCGCGGCGCCCACATTGACCGGAGAGCTGGACCCGCTCCACCCCGCGCGGCAGCGCGAACTTCTGTTGGAAGCACGTGCGGGGGTAGGGGCGAGGTTTCGTCATCACCTTCCCCCCACCGATAAAAAAAGCTGGGGCCGCTGTTGTCTGGTGTAGGGTAGTTACAGTATTTGTACAATAATTTTAGGCGTTGTAGGATGTGGGATCAACAATAGTAAAAGTTTTCAAAAGGTACTATGCGTTGTTGGTTGTAGCCACTTTGGTCTGAGGACACAGGCAGCTCTGGTTCTTTGAGCAGACATGATATCTTTTATTAGACTGACTGCGTAGTTGGAAAAAAGTTCTTGGCAAGCTTTTGGGTGCAGTCACCCTTCTTCAGGCATGGGGAGTTCTCATACTCCAAGAAATGAAAGAAGCTAAAAGTGTTGCAGGATGTCAGTGAAAATGTACAGGTACCATTAAAAACACAAAAGGTGAAGTAGAGGGGGGAGGGGGAAGACAGCAGAGGAAAAAAGGCTGAAGGGAGGCAGTGCAGTGATAGAGTACAATGTAGAAGAGAGGCTGTCAGGCTCCGGGAAAATTAAAGATGTGAAAGAGTTCACATAGGTTTGTTTGAGCCTGAAAGCTTGCAGAAAAAGAGATTTTTTTTAATGTGATTTCCTAGTTGGTTTAATAAATTTCTGAACCAAGAGTTACAGACTTTTGCATTTCTTTTTGTCTTAGACTAACATGGCTACCAAATACATCCCTCAAAATGTAGGTATATTTTTACTTTTCAGATGCACATGCATTGCATGTGCACACACATGCACACACACGTGCAATACATATAAATAATATAGAGGGAATAAAACATTTTGATAAATATGAGGTGTGTTTTTGTTGTTAAAGTTCTTTAAGAAGCCGTTGAAAAAATGCCTGCTTTTGAAAGGAATGTCTAACATGATATTTAAAGTCTCAGAGAGTTCACCACAATCCTGAAAAAATTCAGACATGTGAGTACTGTAGTAGCTTTACAAATGTGGATTGGGATGAATTTAAATATACCAGGTTGTTGACAAGCCAGTCTTGCCAAATTATAGCCTAATGTAGCAAGGCATTGAACGCTTTAGACTCCTGTTGAAATCAATGAGAGTTAAGGATGTTCTGTATTCGAGTCACTCTTGACATATGTGAAATGAAACCCTGGTTAATTATGATTTCAAAATGTTTAAAAATTAAAACATTTAACTGGTTAGAAATGTTTTCAAAAGTAGCTTTTAATTTGTTCAAATATACTCTGATAAATGAGCAAGATAATCTTGGATAGAAATCTTGCAAAATACGACTTTTCTTTTAAGAAGTTTCTTAAGCCTGATATCAGCAGCTCTAAACAAGTATAGTGCTACTGATTTAAGCAGAGTGGTGTTAATTTACCTCATCTTTGGATCTGGCCCCACAATCATAGCTTTAAAAGTAATATGGTGAATGGCAATTCTTTCCCAACATTCCCAATATTGTGATTTTTGGGTTTTATTTTCCCAAGGTCCTTGTCTCATTTTTATCTTTTTGATCAAAAAATGCAAAGGAACTTTGGCAAAATGTCTTTGCAAGTCGAAGGTTTTACCATGGCAGAGAAATTTGAACTGTGAAATAGAAGATTCAGGGATGTTGGCTGTTTGAAATTTAAGAATGACAACAAAGGACCAGATGTTGTGGCCTTACATATTACAAAGGTATTATCTAGCCAGCTGCACTACATAACCTCCAAATTTTATATCCTTCTGTGTTGTATCATTTGGTTCCACTAGTCAGTTCCATCCACACATCATTTCTCACATAGTTCCTGTAATCAGTCATACATTGAGATTTTTTTATCTGTGTCTCTTGAAACAGCTTCCTCATGTCCCTCCTGCTTCTACCACCATGGTTATCAGTTTTGATGCACTATATAGGGGGTGGGGGGACAACCTGTGGCATGGGTAGGCTGTGGATGTCACATAGGAGTTGGGGTGGAGGGGGTGGCAGGGATGAACAGCCTGGTGGCAGATAGGTCCGGAAGCAGAACACAAAAGCATATTGGGCAGACAGCATGGGGAAGGAAGCAGAAGTGAAAGCAGCAAGTCAGGCAGGGAGCAGAGGTCTGGGAGCAGAAAGTGGTGTAGCAGATTGTGGAGGGAACAGGGATTAGAGTGGCATTTGGGGAAATTGTGGGGCTAATCTGTGGCATGCCTACCAAAAATGGTGGCCCCCACTGCACTGAACAGTGGTTGGTTTCACCAGGTGAGTGCTTTTTTGGGGTCTGTTTTCTGCTGTGCTGTGTCTTAGGACTCTCACAATCAATATATACTTGAGACTTAGTCATAGGGATGCCATCTTAGTAAAGACCTTAAGCACATGATTAACTTCAAGTACTTGAGTAACTTTTCGGTGAAGCATTTGAACAGGTGCATACATTCCCATAAAATCCATTGTATTGAAGTCATAGCAGGACTTAAAAGCACGTGCCTATGTATCTTGCTGTTCTTCCCATCCTCTGCCCCATATCTTTCCTCTTCCCAATTTTCCCTTTTCCTTGCCAGGACATCAGCAAGTTTCTGCCCCATCAGATGTCAACTAGGAACAGAAACTTTGTTTTGAGAAAGATCAAGGCCTCCAGCCTAATATTTTGAGTTATGAAAAGCAGTCATTTAGCAGGCTCTCCTATATTTAATTTGTTGGTGTTAGCTCGCCATTGCCATTATACTAGCTGGCTGAATAAAAAACGGGTGATTGAGCTGTTTGCTTTTTATTTTTATTCTCCTAATGAGCATGGTTTGTCTTCAGAAAACCATACTTTCCTGGTTCTTTGTTGGGCACTTTCCATTTTCTATACCTTTTTCTCCATCTTAGGTTTAGTTTTTTGCTGGGTTTCTCTCATTTACTGCTCTTTAGCATGCATGTCCCTTTGGAAGCATCCTTGTTGTTAGCAATCCTTCCAATTGAGGATGAGCGATACCATGGCTCATTGATGGGTCTTGAGATGACTTAAGAGTCCAATCCTTGAGCCACAGATCCATTCACAGATGTTGCAGGTCTTTCTGCAGGGGAGAGTGCTCTTCTTTTCCTTCCTCTGCTCTCTCTTCTCTGATTTGAGGGCAAAATACTTTACCCTGAAGTGGGCTGCCACCTGGTTGAGGTTGCAGCACCTTTGGAGTCAGTTAGCAGCCAGTGAAAATGACCCAAGTTGAAGAGCCCTCCATCCATTTGGTATTCAGTGTCAATTCCAGAAGGAAAGGTAATAAGAACCAGGATGACTGTCAGATAAATGGGGAGCAGAGTTGGTGCCATGACGCATCCTTGCTTGACACAATTTTGCATGACAAATGGATCTGTCTCCAACCTGCTACATTGAATGGTCACGGTCATCTGCTCATGGAGAAGCCTCAGGACTTTGATGACTTTTCTGGACATCCAAATTTGGCCTTACTTTCCACAAGGCTTCACATCTGATGGAGTCAAAGGTGTTAGTAAGGTCAGTGAAGGCTATATACAGGTCTTCATGTTGTGCCTGACACTTTTCTTGGACCTGGTGGGAAACGAAGATCATGTCGTTTGCTCCATGGTATTGTCTGAAACCACACAGAGATTCCAGCAGGACTCCCTCAGAACGAGGTATAAGACAATTTGAGGAGGATGTGGTTGAGGATTTTCCCTGCTATGGAAAGGGAAGTGATATCTTGGTAATTCCCATGCACAAACTTATTTCCTTTCTTGAAGATTAGTCACAATGTTGGCATTCATCAAGTCTCCATGAATCTCTTTGCTGTCCCAAATTTGAAGAATAAATTTGTGGCGTCTCAGAACCAGTTTCTCACCATCAGCCTTGTAGATTTCAGCAGGTATGCCATCTGGTCTACTAGCCTTGTTGCTATTGGCTTCCTTGGTGACATGCTAGATTTCTTCTAGGATATGAGGGTTTGTAAAGGTTCCCCTTTCAGACTGTTGGGGCACAGATTTAATAGTGGTATCTGCCACATTTGACTGATGGTTCAGGAGTGCCTCAAAGTGCTCTTTCCATCTAGCTTGGAATCTTAGATTCATCATCTTTGAAGAGCATCAAGCCATCCTACAAAGGAAGTAAGACTGTGGGAAACTGAGTTATAGATGGCTTTTGTTGCCTAGAAAAATCTATGCATGTCATGTTTGTCAGCATAGAGTTGTATCTCTTTGGCTTTATCCTGCCACCACTGATTTTTTTTATTTCCTGGACCCTTCTTTGTGCTTTGAGGAGCTGATATGTCTCCTTCTTCTGCTGAGATGAGGTGCTATATTGCCAAGCAGAATAAGCCCTTCTCTTTTGGTTGAGAAGGCTTGGATCTAGACGTTGCTTTCATCAAACTAGTCTTGGTGTTGACAGGTGATATAGCCACTGGATTGGATTCAGCACAGGCCATATGGATGTTGGTTTTAAACCCCTTCCAGCTTTGGATGCAGGAATCACCAGGACAAGCACTAGGATAATTTCAAAGGTATGCATAGAATTTGTTCCTGAAACTGATCCATTCAGGTTGATCTGACCGCAAGACAGAGAGCCCCCCCAATACTAATCAGTCACATTTACAATAGTACATAAGCTACCCCTTCAGTAGCCACTGTACAGGGAGTCCAGAGCCAGGAAGTCAGCAGGTGCAAAGTGCTTTAAATAAGTAGGTTGCTGATCAGAAGTAAGCTAGTTGCTGTTTTATTCATGGTTTAAAAAGGCAAAAGATGTTTTGCATAGAGATATTAAAATTGTCGAGAGACAAATCTGGTAGAAACCATAAAGGAGATGTCTTAATTTTTTCATAGGATGATGAAAAGTAGTCTATTGCACATCCTGCTTAAACATTACAGATCTTTATCAGAAGTGTGGGTCATTTTCTGATAAATAAATGTCAGCTTTGCTAAGAAGAGGGCCATCAGGAAAGGTATAAAATGCCCCGTTTTGTTCAATATACAGCTTTCTGAGGGAAAAACATCTGACTGTGAATGGGACTGTCACCGCCTAGCTAGCGAGAATGCCCCCTGCTTGTTAACAACTAAAGACTTGTTTTTGACAAGTCTCTCTCTCAAAGTTTTATCTAGGGAGACCGTTGCAGAATTTGGAGAGAAAATAAGAATACAGCTGTCATGTCACCTTTAGTTAATCACCTGGCAGAACTCTGTCTTGAGAAACCAGTTATTGCAAATGTGATGCTGAGCTGGAAAACTCGCTTCTACGTCAGCTCCAACCAATAAATTGAAAGATGAGTTTTATACCTGTGTTACCCAAGTGATGGCATGATTATATTAAGCTAAGTGCTTCCTACAGAGTAAGTATCCAAGGTAAAACTCTTGGAATGACTACAGTGTCTGAGGTATACTTGTGTTTCCCAAAGAAGTCTAGTTTTAGTTATGTACAATTTACACTGAATTGCTAACCTGAGACTAGAGCATTGTGGTTAGAGAAAAAAAATCCATTAACTAGGTCTCACACTGTTTAAATTATTGTGAAAACTCCAAATGTTTCAGAGTTCAGCCTATAAACATTGCACAAATTCTATGGTCAAGAGCACTGACGAGAGGAAAAAGAATCTTTGAATTGATATGCGAGCTAAAAATGTTATCTCTCTTTTAAAGCTTTGGTTGAAATAATGTAACAGCGTGGAGTCCTGGAAAATTTCTAGGGAAATTAGACTTACTTAAGAATAATTACATGCATATTTAGTTTTGGGTTTTGTGCATGATTTTCTTATTTATAAATGGCAAAGATCGACAGACTACCATCCTGCCAACGTGACTCTGAATTGAATTGTCAGTCTTTGATAATCAGTTAACTTCTTTACTTTTCCAAGTTCTCTTGTACAAATTGTTGGGTTAAATTGAAATGAGCAGCCCCTAATTCCATTGACCAATGAGCTTGATTGGAGATGGGATCCATAGTTCCATAATGATATGAAAATCACCTGTCACTACTAATACTGAAGTAGGGAATTTTGCCTTTATAATGAGATTATGGTAAGATTTTGAAGGAACTGAGCATAGCTGTTTCTTGAAAGCTGTTACTTCCCTTGTTGAATTCAATTTTGATACTGCAAACAGCTTAATTGTTATTTTTGTCTTCTATAGTATTTCTGTTGTTTTAAGTACTCTGCTGGCTGATAAAGCATACGTTTGTATTAGTTTTCCAATGTATATATTCACTAAAGGATACTGAACCTAAGAACAGTGAGAAATTTAGCAGTGATGGCTCATAAATTCAATTATGTAATTCATTATTTATTTCCAACAATTTTTACAAATCTTTCCCCTTTTTTTACTAGTTGAAATTATTATAGCATGCTTTTATTTGTCATTTCTGCCCCACATCCTCATTTGTTACATTCCAAATCAGCATAATACAGGACTGGGCCTTTACAAAGCTGATTTACTGACTAAAACAGTTGCAAAAGAGAACATTTATTAGAATAGAAAAATAATTCTTGAAGTCCAAGCTAACTGTTTAATGTATGTTCCAAGTGAAGAAAAACTCAAGCATATGAAGAGTGTATGAGAAATTCCATGGTTTTGTTCATTCTAAAACCTTTCTGTAGATGTCGCTCTGTCACTGTAGAACTGGTTTAATCATGTTTCTTAAGCCTAGAGGAATAGAGTAGTGTCAGACTTACAAGCTCCTCTGGGAGCCTCTTCAGTGGTTTTACAATTAATGAAGAAGCAAGACATATCGGTGAGCCAGATTTGCATTTCACTAACCCCGTTCCCTGCAGATTCTGTGTCATATTAACTTGGGTCAAGTTCTTGCCTACTATAAATTTAAAAATGTTCTATGGTTGTTCATAGATAGTGGCTTTCAACCTTTTCTGACATAAGGCCCCCTTCATTGGTCTTAAGGCACCCCTCAGAAAACAGCAGTCTTAATTTTTACTTGTTTTTTCACTACAGAAAAATAATAGAGCAATTCCTCTGTTGCAAAGGTCAGATGTTTTTTAACACTATGAATTCCTGGTTGAAACCTGTGGGTTAATTTTGCTCATACCTAACAGTGATAACATTGCATGGCACCCAGTGGCACCTTTGAAAGGTCTTAAGGTAACCCAAGGTGCTGCGGCACTCTGGTTGAGAATCTCTGCTCTAAATATAGGGTTGCTTAATCCTCTTCACTTTGAAGTTATGGCAGAATTGCCATTCATTTTCACAGCTGTAATGTTCTGTTCTAAGTAAGTTGTGTATTTTCAGGTCAGGGTGATGGGTCATTGGAATGGAATCTGCTAGCATGGGAAAAATAATTTTGCTTCAAGGTTCTCATAAGAGCCCTTCAGTGCACAGGAATGTAATCTTTTGTTGGGCCAGCCTTATTTGAGACCATGAAAATAGAGATTTTAGTTGAAAATATCAGGTGTTTTCATTTTACAAGGGTTGTAACAATTGCAGCCCATGGTAGAAGATCCAGTTCTTAAAGAGATCTTTCCAGAACCACTCATCCAAGCCTTTAAACAAGGACCAAACCTCACCAACCTTATCACCAGAAGCATGCCGGAAAAAAAAATGTAAAATCTGCCAAAATATCTCCACCACTCCCACAATTACTACACCCCACAACAGAGCCATCAACATTCCTGGATCTTACACCTGCACCTTCAGAAATGTGATATATCTTATCTTGTGTGCTAACTGCCCTGATGGAAAATACACAGGAGAGACAACTGCGCACTACAATGAATGCACACCAAAAATCTATCAAAGACAAGAATACCCAGTTACCTGTGGGTGCACAGTTCTCACAAGAAAACCACTGTCTGTCCAGTCTCTCAGTTCTAATCCTCAAAAGGAATTTACAAAACACCTTTCGTATACGAGCCTACGAACTTCACTTCATAAATCCACTGGATACAAAAAATCATGGACTAAGTATAGATACTGGATTTATAGCACATTATAATCTGCCTGTCACTCTGATAATAACCCGATGTAACCTGTCTACATTTTATACCAGCTACATTATGTCACCAGTTCAACATTCTGCACCCCCCCTGACCTACCCGTCTCTCGCCTATTGTCTCGCACAGCCTGTGATCCTTACTGCCACACATTTGCATTTTCATGGACCTGCATTTTGCATGTTGACTTTTGTTCCACATAGGAGAGCACACAAAACTCAAGCAGACTCTCACTATGCTTGAAGAAGAGTGTTTGTGCCGAAAAGTTTGCAAAAAACAATCTTTCCAACTATTTAGTTGGTTTAATAAAATATTTCATATCTACTTAAAGAACCTTGTCCACCTTCAGTTTACAATGCATACAGAAGAGAGCTGTTTTTGTTTTCATTTGTTTTTCCCTTTCTGTTTTTGGTTTCTTTTGGTTATGTTGTGTCCGGGTGTACCTTGGTTGTTTTTAAACATATACAAACATAAAGCTGCCTTTTTTTGTATACAATACTTGCATGTGTATGACGGCACTGAGCACATACACGTATATTTTGATTAAAGCCTGGTTGTAGAATGTGGAAATTGATGTATAGGGGAAGACTTCATATAGATTCATAGATGTTAGGGTTGGAAGGGACCTCAGTAGGTCATCGAGTCTGACCCCCTCCCCTGGGCAGGAAAGAACTCTGGGGTCAGATGACCTCAGCTAGGTGCATACCTAGCCTCTTCTTAAAGACCCCCAAGGTAGGGGAGAGCACCACCTTGCTTGGAAGACCATTTCAGATTCTGGCACCCTTTACTGTGAAGAGGTTCTTTCTAATGTCCAACTTAAATCTGCTCTCCAGCCATTGTTCCTCCTTACTCCAGGGGGTGCCCTAGTAAACAGAGCATCTCCTATTCCCTGCTGCTCTCCTCTGATGAATTTATAGGCAGTCACAAGATCACCTCTCAGCCTTCTCTTGTGAAGGCTGAAGAGATCTAGGTCCCTCAGCCTATCCTCGTGGGGCCTTGCCTACCAGCCTCTGATCATATGAGGGGCCCTCCTCTGAACCATCTCAAGATTCTCCACATCCCTCTTGAAGTGCAGCACCCAAAAGTGGACGCAGTACCCCAACTGCAGTCTGACCAGTGCCATATAGATGGGAAGCATCCCCTCCCTGGACCTGTTTGTCATGCATCTGCTAATGTGGTTAGCCGTGTTGATCACTTCGTCACATTGATGACTCATGTTCATCGTGGGGTCAGCTATGACTCCAAGATCTGTTTCTGCTGCTGTGCTGCTGAGAAGGTCATCCCCCAGCCTGTAAGTGTGTTGGTGGTTCTTTTTGCCCAGGTGCAGCACTTTGCACTTGTCTTTGCTGAACTGCATCCTATTTTGTTCTGTTCATTTTTCCAGCCTGTCCAAATCTGCCTGCATCTGTTCCCTACCCTCTGGTGCGTTACCTTTGTTCATGGATGTAGGATGCAATATATTTGTTCATGTATGTAGGATATGTGTGTATTAGCTATGTGTCATATGCAAAGAAGGTGCAAAGAAGATTTGCAAGTGTGCATACTTGTGCATGATGTGTACAGAACATGACTGTCAGCAACTTGGTAAACTCTCTGGTTTCAGAAGCAGGCCTAAGTTCTATGACGGGAATAATCAAAACCCAGCCCTTGGGCCAGATCTGGCCCCTTACACTCTGTCAGCTGGCCTGCTTGGCTCCCCACAAGTCCAAATATTTGGCAGCTGTGGAGCAGTAGTACCAATCTTCTGCTTCCAAACTTCTGGACCTCTGGGAAGTCCAGGGCTAAATAGCATGGCCCTGTGGACTGGATTGGGTCCTGTGCAGGGCCTGATCCTGGTGTGTGAGGTGGTGTGGGGGTGCCAGGATGATTCTGGTGGGTGCGGGATGTGGGGTCTGCTTCTGGTGTACAGTAGCAGTGCAGAACCAGAAGATTGAACACCATGGCCATGTCCATATGAGCGTAGCCATGTGGTATGTGGTGCCGCAGACATGTTTGCAATGTCACATTCTATACTTTCAGCTGTTCTCCACACTGCAAGGGAGGGGAGCAGGGTTTGGGGGTTTTTTTGGCCTGGATATCCAGGGGTCAAAAAACCTGCACAAAAAAAAAGTGGAGTGGCACATGCTGGGGCAATGTGTGCAGCTCAAAACCAGAGCTCTGCCGGCTGGAGCCACACTCCAGCTGCTGGCCAGGTTCCAAGTGGCAGGATTGCTGCTGCTGCAGCCCCAAGGGACCTCCAGGACTTCAGGTAAGGTTGCTGGGCCCAGCCTTGTCTATCACACCCGGGGTAACATGCTGCATGCCAGAGAGCATGTGACACAGGTGTTCCCCAGGAATAACTAGAAGTGGAACAAGATGTCCTGCTGCTAGTTGTCCCCAGGGAACCAAATGTCCATGCTGGTGTGGGCACCGCCCATGGTTCTATGACATCTGATCTCTTAATTAGCCAAAGCATTTACCTAAACTGATTACCAGTTTGTTTAGGCTAGAATGTACTGTACTTGCAGCAAGACAGAGGCTTAAGAAAGGAAAAACATGCTAAAAGTCCTTGGGTCAGGGATCCAGGTTGTAGTTGTATTGGTCTAGAGGATAAAGCAATCAGGACTCGTGGCAGAAGTGATATTTTTTATTAGACCAACTAGATTTTTGCAAAAAAAATTCTTTAATTGCAAGCTTTCAGGCACAAACAGCTTTAATCAGGCATTGGAGAAAAGATTGTAAAAGTTCTGGGTAGAAATGAAAGTTCATATTTCATAGGAGAGTTGAAGGTTTGGAAAAGTTCATTTCCTATGCTTTTGGGGTTTGTTTGTTTTTTTTAAAGAAATTTTTTGTGTTCCAAGCCAAATCAGCCGAATCAAGTCCTAATCCATGAGTCAGTCCAGAACCAGAACCAGCAAACTTTCTCCACCTCCACCACACACTTCAGATATTTCCAAAGTCTTTTGGCAGGCATCCTATGTGCAGGCCCAAGCCTGGAGGCTTGGGGTTCAGATGTCCCCAAGTTTTGCCTGCCTTCAGCCATATGGCTGCAGAAGCAAGCTAGGGAGAATCTCCCATTTCTATAAAGTGGGATTTAAGCCCCAACACCTTGATGGGTACTAAACCACGCCAGAAGAACAGTTATCCCTGGGAACGCTTGAGGAAAACTGCCTTCATGGACTCGGATACATGGCGTTTCCTTAAGCTCAGAGAAAAGGTGGAATAGTCTGTTTACCTCAAAGTTGCTTATTGGTAAGCAGGATGTATTCATATTTCCTTCTGGTTATGGTGTTTCGTATTTCACAGAGAAGTAAATAGAGGGGA